AAGAACCACCAGGTGATTTTGACAGAACCTCCCTGATATGTCAGAGGGGGTTGTTCTGACAACAAGGCCATGCACTATTGTATTTCATTACCATGGTACTAATTTCAAATAAGACATTTTTTCCTAGTGGCTAGACTCAGGAATGAAACTTCATTCCTCAGATCAGTCAGGTCCTGGAATGGTCACTCTAGACTAGTGATTGAGCTAAGCACGTAATTGTTGAGGGAATATAAGTTGCCATGTGATATACATGTACATACTTGTATTACATGTGCTGAGAGCCATCTGGTTGGTTACATACAAATTACGTAATTATTCTAACACCAGACAATACTTAATTAAAGAAATTAATTAAAGGAGAGACATAACATACCTGGCAGTGAAAGATGTATTCAGGAGTATTTTTCTTATATTTCATGTTCCATATTAAGGCAACACCATCTGGTTCATGAGGAGCTTCTTCATTACTGTTGTATGATGCCATCAGTAACTCAGGATACTAAGTGATAATAATAAGGAAGAAAAAAAGTACTTTTCTTAAAGACTTCATACCATGAATTGACATGAAATTTAAATTTGTTTTACCCATGTCTAGTAGCAATTTTTTAAGCATTGTGAAAGTCATATTAGAGCATATTTTGATTATGTTATCAATGCATCTCTGAAACCATAAATATAGTGATGGCTCAAAAAAAAAACTACAATTATAATATTTTGTATTCACAATATGGTTGACTGACAGTAATCTGTGTTTGTGAACATTGATCTTTTATGCAAATTAGCCACAACGTTAAACAGTGTCTAAAATGTGTTCCCAAAAGCTGATCGCTGTGTTTTTTAGAGCTTAAAAATTTGCAAAATTGATAATGGGATAAATTGGATATTAAGTTTGTGACCCTACAATACAGGATTTATTAAACTCAGTAATTTATATTGATAATGGGATAAATTGGATATTAAGTTTGTGACCCTACAATACAGGATTTATTAAACTCAGTAATTTATATTGATAATGGGATAAATTGGATATTAAGTTTGTGACCCTACAATACAGGATTTATTAAACTCAGTAATTTATATTGATAATGGGATAAATTGGATATTAAGTTTGTGACCCTACAATACAGGATTTATTAAACTCAGTAATTTATATTGATAATGGGATAAATTGGATATTAAGTTTGTGACCCTACAATACAGGATTTATTAAACTCAGTAATTTATATTTGTCCTTGCTAAAGGTTCAGATTAAATGGAAATCACTACACTTGTTCAATTAATCTGATATTGTAGGATGATCTTGAGATAGCTTTGATGTATTAAAGAAAACAAGACAGTATGTGTGTGTTACAACACAAAATACTTGACTTCATTAATAATCAACAGAATTAGATATCTTTTCTAAATAATATTATATTAAATATTATATTGTTCCAAAAAATTAGTTCAACTGCTAACATTTCTGTGACAATCATATGTCAATTATATGCAGTGTGTGCATGCTAATGTATTACATCTCCGAATGAACCAATATAGCATACAAGTCACACAATGTGATTTATTGTATCTCATATCAGCAATAGTCACTTGTCTGCCTGCATATACAAGTATTAGTATGTAGAAAACAAATTGGTGAAATTGCCAGGATTGGTTTTAAAAATTTGACATCTGCAACTGTCAGGACATTTGAAAGTTTTTTTCTAACCTGTGTTGACCAATCCATACTAGTGATAACACGGTGTTTTGACCAGCGTTCATCATAGAATTGACGATGCAAAGCTAGCTTGGCACCAGCTTCCATTTCCCTGAAATATATTAGAAAGATGAGTCATGTATTTGAAGTGTTCAGTAATATCAAAGATTTACAAAATAAGTATTGCATGGTGTACTGGTAGTACAAGTTGAAGATTCTATTGAAGTCAGCCAAATTACATGTTGAAATTGTAATATTGCTAGATTATGACCATATTGAAGACAAAAACATTTCTACAAATACAAAAGAGTGAATCTGTGAAAGAAGTGGTTAGTGTTCTTGTTTGTATGAATGCTCATCAAGAAAGTCAATGAAAAAAACAGCAAAAGGCGCCAGGCGCCAGCAAATATTTTGATGAAGTTACATTACGAAATAGCCTGATTCAAGCCAACAAGTTGACAAGAATCCAGCACCAAGTGTGATCATTGGTCTTCAAATTGCTGACATTCGGCCATCTTGAACCAGATCATAAAACAAATGCATGAACATATCAAACAACACATGCCTAAGATCTTATTCAGTACAACTAAACATTTTTTACAACTAAAAATGGTCAACAATCAGCCTTTCTTCAGAAGCCTAAATGTACTATGTACTACAATGATAGAAATTCACTCAGAAATTTTTGAGATTTTGCTTACACAGACAGACAGACACAAACACACCAAAATCATTGCCTCTCTTGTGTGCGAATATGAGAGGTAAAATTAAATTCCTCAACAACAAATTGTCCACCAGTCGGTCATCTTGAATTGACCAGCATCAACTACCCACAATGGTCAGTCCTTCAACCAAGAAAATTGAGCAACACATGCCCTAGATCTGTTTTTGAACATGTCAAAATACTTGTTGTATTTTTACAACTAAATGGCCGATGGTCATCTATCTATGACAGAGTCACAAAATCACAAGTATTAAAGGCCGACATGGTATATAAACAGGTTGGGACAAAGTCTATCAGTCAAATGAAGTCGCCCTCAAATTAGAATACTGAGCTTCCATCCATGGAAGGTACTAACGAAAGGAGCTGCGGCGTCTCTCAAGTGGCCACTTAAGCCTCTTAACTGGCTTATTTCCTTTTATTTTAACATAAGTTAATCATGATAGTTTGCAATTGTTTACACAAGTAACGAGTTAACGGAATATGATATAACCTCGCTGATTTTTAATGTAACCATAAAATATATGCGAATTATGAAACTACAGCCATCACACATGCGCACTTGGTTTGTTTAAGTGTGAAAGGTAAAAATACACATTTCACAACCGGAAATTTAACAGAGGAACATTTGATTTCACAGATTTCACATGTTTTCATAATTAGCAATTGTAACAAGAACAAGATTTTGAGCATCTACTACAAAAATTCCTAAGAACTCCTAAAAAATATTATCGCAGGAAAAGTGTCAAGGCAAGCCCTTCTTTCAATACTATCTTTTCTGGTAGTGTTCGTCGATGACCGGTGGTCGAAATTTCAAACAGTTTCGGGCGTCAAACCCTGGCACTGACGATGGTACCGTAATGTCCAATCTATGTACCAAGTTTGAACAAAATTCATCTGTAAACAGTTGAAAAATGCTTGATTTTGGTGATTTTTCAGTAGAAGAATGGCTGCCATTCAGCCATCTTGAATCAGATTGGAAAACAAATTGATGTGCATATGTATAATATTATTTATGATGTATATGTGAAGTTTGAATGTAATAGGGCCAGGCATGTCTAAGATATAGGTTCGGGCGCACACACACACGCACGCATGGACAGATGCACAAATGCACAGAGGTCAGGGAATAATTAGGCATTTTACCCATATACACCTTTCCCTTCACCATTAATATGGGCAAGGTATAAAAATGCAGACAAATCAAAACTACAAAATCTTTATATTTTGCTGAGCGAAAGGTGCATCAAATCAAACTGAGTTAACTTAAAACAATTTATAGGGTTAAACCCTAAGTGACCATGTGGATTTAAACAAATACCATACTCGACCGCGTTAGCGGCCATGCCCGGTCAAGCGCCCACCCCCCACTTTTGTGCAATTTTTATATTCAGGGTCACATTTGGCAAAGCGCCCACCCCTTCAAAATGCCACTAATTTAAAATTTGGTCTTTGATCATTGCTTAACAAATATTGGTAATCGTTTTTATATCATGATACAGCGTGGATATCGGCAGATCGTATTGGAGATCGTACTTCAACATCGATAATTCACTTCCGAGAGTCTTCAGGAATTTCTGAAAAATTGCGTCGGTACTACACAGCATTTTGACAGGATAATAACAGACTTGACCCATTAGGTCAAAGGACGTTGATGCAGGTCAAATGCAAATACATCATGGCGGAAAGTGCTTTTTATCGAGAGTTTGCGTACGATCCGACACATTCATCAGTGGGGATAATGATGAAGATTTTGACTGTGTTCCAACAGACTCAAATAGTTTTAATCTTGTAAATTCGGGTGGTACGTATTAATATTGTAATAAAATGTGCATATTTTACCATTTCTGTTTCTTCAGTGTAAGAGTCAATGACGAAGCACCTAATTTCGTAATTTTATTTTCCCTCCAACTTTCAGACGTAATATCCCCCTCAATCTGTCACATGGTGAATTAAAATTGTCAGTTGCACTCTTTTACCAAGGGGGTGCTTGGGTAAGCGCCCACCCCTAAAAAATCCTGATTTTATGAGTTGAGGACTCTGGGTATTAAGTACGGTATTAAGAAATGTACAAATATGTACACCCCATAGTTTTTTTTCAAATAGCCAATACTATCAGGAAACCCTGAAACACGTCCATCTATCCTCACAAACAAACATTAATTTAATTCACACTTACTTTTCCTTATCAAGATCATCACCACCAGTATAGTCGGTGAATAAGTCAATTTCTTCAGACAATGCACGTTCAACTACACGGCTTGTTCGATCAAAAAATTTGACAAACTCCTCGCTGCCAATGATCTGCTTCTTCTCCTCCTCAGTAAGTTCTCGAAAAACTAGAAATATTATGAGATTTGTATTTGTAACAATAATTTGCAAACATGTTAATGGCAATGGTCAGTGACGACATATACAAATATAGGTACATTGAACTGCAAATGACAATGGTCAGTGAGGACATAGCTACATGGATGACCGA